ATCGCAGTAGTTGCTTTCAGCTCACCTTGAGAATATTAAGGGCAAGATATTATTAATAGTTTGAAGACCGACTTCGGAGCTCTTAACATGGCATTGCCCCCAGCAGCCCTGTGTGAATGAATGGGCCTGGGGTGCCTGCCCTTCACCCCACTCCCAGTGGGAGACCTCAAGGGGCTGCTGAGAGTGCTTGACAGGTGTCTTGTGCCCCTGGGAACACAATAGAGTTCTAGGCCACAGGATTATAAAGGGCAAGAAGCAGGCTGTCTAGCCGTGGATGGAAGAGTTGAAAGACAAGTGGTTGGGTTCTGCAGCCTTCTTTCAGGGCAAAGAGTATGTGAATGTTTCTCTTAGACATGATCTAAGCAGTGTAAGACAGTCTGTCCTGCAAGGCAGCCTAGAGGGATAAATAGCTAGAGATGCACCCCAACTACTATGGCGTTGGTCAGTCCCCACAGGGCACTGCAGGGAGAGATCCCCAGTGATGGGGGGGGAGAGGATCCCCAGAGAATCCACAGAAGTACCGTTAAAAACGTAAGGAGCTTCAAATATGTGTCAAGTCCAGAAAGAGGCAAGCCAAATCACCCTAGTGGCATCGGTCAAGCAAGAAAACAAATAGCCGATTAAGTAACGGGCAAATGACCTGAACAGACATTTCTCAAAAGAAGAAATACACATGGCCAACAGGTATGTGAAAAGGTGCTTAATATCACTAATTATCAGGGAAACGCAAGTTAAAGCTATGATGAGATATTACCTCGCACCTGTGAGAATGGCTTTGGTCTGATGGATGAAAGGTAAGTGTTGGTGAAGATGTGGAGAAAAGGGAATGATCATATGCTGATGGCGGGAATGTAAATTAGTACAGACGCTGTGGAAAACAGCACGGCAGTTCCGCAAACAATTAAAAACAGAACTATCCTCAGATCCAGAAACCCCACCACTGGGTATGTATCCACAGGAAATGAAATCACTATGTGGAAGAGATATCTGCACCCCCATGTTTATTGCAGCATTAGTCACAATGGCTGAAATATAGAATCAGCCTAAATGTCCACCAGCAGATGAATGGACAAAGAAAATGTGGCTTGTGTACCCAGTGGCATACTATGCAACCTTAAAATCCAAGGAAAAGCTGTCATCTGCAACAACATGGATGAACCTGGAGGATATCATGTTAGGTGAAGTAAGCTAGGCATAGGAAGACAAATACTACATGATCTCATTCATATGTGGAAATTTACAGAAGCGGAGAGTAGAATGGTGGTTACCAGGGTCTGGGGATGGGGCTGGGGAATGAGGAGTTGTTAATTAAAGGGTACAAAGCTTCAGTTAGACAGCAGGAATAAGTTCTGGAGATCTGTGGTACAGCATGGTGATGAAAATTGCTGAGGGAGAAGATTTTAAATGTTGTCATCACAAAAAAGGATAAGGATTTAAGGTGACGGATATGTTATTTAGCTTGATTAAGCCATTCCACAATGTATACATGTGTCAACACATCACATGGTACAACACAAATATTTATAATTTTTAATTTGTCAATCCAATAACTAAATAATTTTTAAAAATTAAAAAATAAAAAGTAAAGTTCTTGTAAGCATGTATTTTATTTCAGTTACCTACTATGATAAATTTAACTTTTTATCTCAGCACTAAAATTGAAATTATGTATCAAAATATAATGAAGATCTATTATAAGGGGGAAAAAGAATGCCAATACTGCCCTTTCCTCTCTTTCCTTCCTACACTCCAACCCCAGAAGGATAAAAAGCTTCAGTCAGTGGTTCTTGGTAGGGGTTAGAGGAGGACCTGCTGGGAGGAGAAAGAAGTCACACACACTTATTTAACCCGCAAGCGGGGTGACTATTTGATTATTACTTGGATCGACATTCTTATTAATAATTTAGGACTCTTTGAATTACCCAAGCATGAGAAGCAAGATTGCACAAACTGCTTTTTTAAATTCAGGAACATGGGATGAATTAGCCCACAAAATAAACAATAAAAGATAAAAAACATATATATATATAGCAAGTTGCTTTATGACAATATCAGTTACATTTGCATTACTTGGGTTGTAAGTTGAGTAATTTTCAAGTATTTGCTCAGCTTTTGTATTTCTAGTTTTTGTGAATTACATATTCATATCTTTTCCATATTTTGATATTGGAATCTTAGTGATTTTCTCACTGATCTGTGTAATACAGCTCAATACTTTTGTCATGAACAACAGTGTTTGCTTAAGAGACTACTCCACCATACAGAGCTTTATGACATTAAAGGGAAAGACCTAATGCCAGCATTCACTTTCTATCATTTCTGCTCAATTAGAGATATGATCCAGAAACTTTGACTTTTCCATCCAAATTCTAAGTTGCATATGGACCAATTTCTATGCCTTTACTAGGGAGCTATTTTAACCAGAGTAGCACTTCAGGCCTTCCCAAACTTTCTACCACTTAGTAGCATAGCCTCCTATTAAATTATGTACTTGTTTGACTCCCAAGTCCTCAAAATTGTCTCATTATGGTCTTCCAGAAAACTACTGCAAAAAGCTATATTTAAACTTGGAATTTAAATCAAACCCTCATTAATAGAAAAACAACATTTTAAATAGAACCCCAGAAACAGCATCTTTAGTTGATATTTTCAGTATTTTGGCAGAGCAGGAAAAATTCAAAGGTTGTGTATTAAAAGATTCATTCTCTGTATCTGGACCTAGGTCCATACATAGCACCATCTAGAGCACTTTCAGTGTCTAAATAATTTAGGGATTAGCACAGAAACATTTGGTCTGAGCTGTAGTTTTGGCTATGCATAAGTACTCTCATTTTTTCAATCTTTGATGAATTGGAAAATTGCCTGGAATTGGAACTCTTTCTCATCTACTTGGACTTCCTGCCTCATGCACAATTTGCCAGTCCTGATACTCTCTGCCAAGAAAGAAGAAAAAGTATCCTCTATACCTATCCGCATACTGCAACTACATCTAGGCTAGATTGGTGGGGTGTACACCTTTCCATTCATGAACATATTTGCTCTACCTTCAACAGTATCCAGATTATTCTTTACTCTGCCAACCCAGAATTTTATCTTTTCCCCTCTTTCTTTATACCAAAGGATCAAGTAGACATTTGGGGAGATTTTATCACTTAAGTTGATTTGACTTCTAAGTAGCTCCTTCTGAAAATATCCTATTCATTCATCTGTGCATTCTCTCATGCAACAAACAGATGTGAAACAATTACTCCGTGCCTGGCGCTGTCTGTTCACACCTTCATTTTGTTCCCCAGAGAATTAAAGAAAAATCACGTTTTAGGACACCTGTATTAAAGGATGCGTAACATCTTTGTGACCAATCATCATCATCAATAACAAAAATCATTCCACTCCTGCTTTAATTTATTAGTTTATCTAATGAGGTTAGAAACATGTTTCCCAAAAGGGGGCTGATTTTGCAAAGAACAAGGCTTCAATGGCCAGAACTAATAAAGCAAGTGGACCCTGACGTGGGAGGAGACACAGGAGGGCTGGCTGATGGAGGGCTTAGCTGGGGCTTGAAATTTGATTAAAGGTAATTCCACAGGAAAGCTGAAATTATTTAATTAGATATTTAAGAAGATTCAATCTTCCTCTCATGAAGGGACACCCTCAGGGGTATTTAACATACGCTCCAATTTCTTTTACCAACCACTTAGAACATTTTTGATATTTCGTGCAAGTCACGGTGATCTCTGTAGTTAAGAATCCTGCAGGAGTGAGTTTAAGCTATAACCAATTAGGAAATTAACTCATCAGGTCACTTTTGTTTTTGAAGTCTGACTGTTGAAAATTACTAATATTAATAGAAAAATAAAATTACCATGGTAGATTGTAGAAAGATGCCTTCTAAAATCATATACTGGGTTCTTAGTATTTGTAGAAGTGTTAGCCTTATTCTGTGGTTGGCTCTCTTCCATGCCTGTTCGTCATACAGGAAACCCTACAGAAATTGAGTAAATAGTTATCCACATTTGCAGTGGCCTCAAATTTTCTGCGTATTGTTTTTTTTTCAGGGATGCTAGCTGGATGTTGTTATCCAAAACTAAAGGTGATACAGCTTAGTGCAAAGTTGATGGCATTTCTAAGGCATCCCCACAGAGCTAGCCTTGCAAGAAGTAATATTTGATGCTCCTCAGCTAATCGATTCATTACACATCTAGAATAGATATAATTTATCTTGAATTTCACGAGACTCAAATACCATGAAAGAAATGACAAAAAATATTGAGGTTCTACCGGAGGGCTCTGAATGTCTTGATATTGTCACGAGAGTCCCCAGGATACCCTGAAATCACTGAAGACAGTTGCTCCATCACAACACTGCTGTCACCATCCTCTTCTCCCTCTGCTGCCCAGATGGACTTTACACGACAGCCGAGGGGACTGAGTCCTCAAAAGAATGGAAATATTGCAAAAGCTGCTGTATTTTACACAGCTAAGATGTTACACCCTTCTAGTGACAAAATGATTAATGGTTGGCCCTTGTGAAATGAAGCAAACAAGATGCCAGGAAGACTTCCGTTCACATTAACAGATTCTTTCAGTTGATAGCAAAACCTAGAAATTGTTGAATGTGCCAATAATGATTCCCTCTTCATACAATTCCTTTGTACATCTAGATTTTTACATCCATTTGATGTCTCTTTTAAAAGGCTTTATTTTTTCCCTTGTTTACTTAGGATGTTAAAATTGTAACCACCGTTGAATAAAAGTAGAAAAAAATGGTTACCAGGTTTCTTAACATGTTGATTTTTTTAGGATACCATAAATGCCACTGTGTTTGAATTCCAATAATAATATTACATCATTGTTTATTTTTTGTCTAAATAAAAATCAAGATAAAAAATTACAACTTGGGGAAAAATGACAAGTGTCTTGATTTCTAATGCTATGTTTTTATTTATACTACTTTGATGTTAATAGGCAGGCAAGAAATGATCCATTTTTCCCCCTTTCAGCCGTTTACCTCTGCAAGAGAACAATGCAAAACAAGGCAAGATTGGAGCTAGCAGACTATGAAGCTGTAAGTACCAAGGACTTTCTGGTAAAGAAAGTCCTATGTGGTTTTTGTTTTGTTTTTTTTTTTCTGTGTACTCTGTTAACCTTCCACATTATTATTTGTAAAGATCAGATTTCCAGGGATCAGACAGACCAACACCTTTAAAAATCCCTGCTTGTTTCTTCTCTTCATTCACATTGAGTATGGTGAAATTCTATAAATTCACAGACTCAAATTCTAAATACACAAACTCAAATAAGAAGCATATCTTATTTTCTAAAAATCAATTTAACTCTGAAATCTTCAGATATATACTGTAGTGAAGCCATCCAAACTCTGAGAATTAAAGACCATCGACTGGGAAAGATTTTGCAAAACCTTCAGGTTGGTCACCACCAGTAGATAAAATTAATGTGATGTCATTTGTTCATATGGTTGCTATGTTGTGATTTACTGAATTCAAAGCAGTGTGTGGAAATGGGCTGTGGATTGCCAAGGGTTTACATTTATTGTCAGGAACTGGATAGGCTGATAAAATCAGTGGTAGGAATGTATTGCTTTCCTGTCTCTACATAAAGTGGGCACAGAAAAGTCCAATGGATTCACCTGGAGTGCTTCCATCATTACAAGTATATTTTGGTATTTTGTAGATACATAGTGGATTTTTAGTTGTGTTCTCTAAAGTCAGTTTTTCACAAAAATTAATATTTGTAACAGGTCTTTCTGCTTCCTCTGAGACTATTAATATGAAGATTAGCTGAATTTAGTGAACATGACTTATCATTCAGAACCAGAACATTCAGAACCAGAACATACTTTAGAAATGTTATACTTGTTTTATTGACAGATGCATATGGTGAATAAACTAGAAGGGTGTAGTGAAGATGGACAGTAGCGTGTCTTCACCTGGTGTATGTTTTTCAGGAGAGCCTGGCCCGGCTGCAGAGAGCATTTGCCCGGAAGTGGGAGTTCATTTTCATGCAAGCAGAGGCACAAGCAAAGTGAGTCCTTGTGAGTCTTTTGGAAGATTTGTTCCAGTTGTGGCCTTTTGTCCAGAGAGGCACTACAATTAACGCTGCTTATCATTCATTGTTACGATGTTGACAGAGTGGACAAGAAGAGAGACAAAATCGAAAGGAAGATTCTTGATAGCCAAGAGAGAGCATTCTGGGATGTACACAGGCCTGTGGTAAGCAAACACACCATTGTCGCCTCGAATCCATATTCTCAGTCTTTGGCAAGTGAGAGGTGCCCTGCAAAAGCAAAGGAAAGACTATGGTAACCCCATTGCACATCCTGGAGTATCTTGGTGAATTGGCTAAGAAAAGATTGCCGCTTTTGTGTAGCATGACCCAGATTTCAATAGTGTAATATTTTATTTATAAAACTATGCATTTTTCCACCAGGATATTATTGCTTACTTTTGGCATTTGAGGTGCTTGATGCTTCTCTATACTCTTGAAAGATAAAAACACTGCAACAAAGTAGTTCCTTATGGTTTACTGTTTATATTTCTTTCTGACTTTATGGTAAAAGTATAAGTCAAAGTGTTATTCCTCCCTAATTTTTCTTTTTTCAAAGCTATCAGTAACCTGCTTTGGTTGTCGAATTTCACAGACTAACATTTTACATGGTTCAAATTCAAATCAGTTCATATTTTCAAGGGTATAACGTTGGATCTGTATACACTAACTTAGCTGGTTTTCTTCCTTATTAATGTGAAATTATGTGCCTCAGAATAACAAATAATAAATGTCCTCAATTAATACCAGAAAACTGTGGAAGGAATTAAACAATGATTACAAACATCCATAAGACAGCATGTCTAACCTCTTCTATTTCTTTGTATGTTGATGCTCTATCTTTTTCTTCTGTAGATGTCTTTAAATACAGAAAAGGCACTAGAGAATGATATTTGCATAATTATTATTAAAATAAATAGCAGGTTCACAGCATGAGAGACAAATCAAGATTGATAAGGACACCTTAAAATTTTCCTCTTGACCACCTTTAGAGTCAGACCAAAATAGAAAGAATCCAGAGGTTTGTTTATGCACGTATGTATTTCAATTTCAGATAGCAATGCAATTGTTAAATGCTATATTGAATTTTCTCTGTCTTTTGAATTCTCAAAAGATTAAAATTGAGAGTGAACTGGCTTTGCTACTCAAAATTCAGTTTGGGTTTTATTGCTCATGGAGAAAAAGGATTATGAAGTCACACACATAGCTATTGCAAGGACATGAAGTAGGATTTTTATTTTTTTGTTTGTTTTAAGCGGCTTCTAGAAACCAGTCAATACGTTCTGTTCCCATGTTTATCCAGTTTGTCTCCCTGGACATCTGGTGGCCCATATCCATCCTCGTTCAGCTTGCATGGCCTGGTCCTCCAAGAGGAGGAGTCCCTTCAGCACTTTGACAAGTAGAATTTTTACTTTGATTTAACTAGATGCTAAAATTCTATTATTACAGACTACTAAAACAATTAGCCTTTGCAGGGAGGGGTTCATAAAAGTATTGAAACATTGAATACACAGGCCGACCCACGCACTACATTATCTTTGACATATTGTAATTTAGTGTATTTCTCCCACTATAATCTTGAGTAGTTAGTTTCTGGCAATTTTGTCTGGAGTTCTTTGTAAGTGAAGAGTCCTTTTGAGTGTCATGGCCTTAATTTTTGTTCCAGAGTAAACATTGGTATGCTTAGAGAAGCTAACATTATTTTATAGAGGTGTTAAATACTAGAATGATTATTCTGTGTCAAGCTGACCTAAAAGTGACCTCATGGTTTTTTAGAAAGTAAAATCATATTTCATATATTTTCTACATCTCTAGATCTAAATTCATGGAATATGCTATTATGTTTTACATGAAATTGACTTTCAGTATATTTTAAAGATGCTGAGCTGCTGTTTCAGATTTGTCTTTCGCTAGATTTTCTGGCTAATGCTTTTCATTTTTCCCCATTTAGTACGATATTAGCTGTTGATTTATCATATATGGCCTTAATAATTTTAAGGAATATCCCATCTCTGCCTATTTTGTTGAGAGTTTTTATCATAAACATGTGCTGGATTTTGTCAAATGCTTTTTCTGCATCTATTGGGAGAATCATATGGTCTTTGTTCTTGCTTTTATTTATGTAGCGAATTGCATGTATAGCAGAGTTGTGTAAGTTGAACCAGCCTTACATCTCTGGGATAAAGCCCACCTGGTCACGATGAATTATTTTTTTGATGTGCTGTTGGATTCAATTTGCTAAGATTTTGTTGAGGATTTTTGCATCTATATTCGCGAGGGATATTGGTCTGTAGTTTTCTGTTTTTGTTTTGTCCTTTCCTGACTTTGGTATCAAGGTGATATTGGCTTCGTAAAATGAGTTGGGGAGGATAGCATCCTTCTCAATGTTTTTGGAATAATTTCTGCAATGTAGATACGAGTTCTTCTTTGCAGGTTTGGTAGAATTCAGGTGTGAACCCATCTGGTTCAGGACTCTTCCTTGGTGGAAGGCTTTTAATTGCTGCACCAATTTCTGTGCTTGATATTTGTCTGTACAGGAATTCGATTTCCTCCTGATTGAGCTTAGGGAGGCTGTGTGTTTTCAAGAATTTGTCCATTTCCTCCACATTTTGTAGTTTGGGGGCATATAGATTTTTATAGTATTAAAAGATAATGTTTTGTATTTCTGCGATGTCTATAGTGACCTCTCCTTTTTGATTTCTGATTGAGTTTACTAAAGTCCTTTCCTTTCTAGTTCTTGTCAATCTAGCAAGAGGGCTATCAATTTTGTTTATCTTTTCGAAAAACCAACTTTTGGCTTTATCGATCTTCTGTATAGTTCTTTTATTCTCAATTTCATTTAGTTCTGCTCTGATCTTAGTTATTTCTTTTCTTCTGCTAGGTTTAGAATTAATTTGCTCTTCCTTTTCCAGTTCCCTGAAACGGTTTATTAGTTTGTTGATTTGTGAGCTGTCTTTTGGATGTGAGCATTTAATGCTATTACTTTTCCTCTCAGGAATGCTTTTGCTGTATCCCACAGATTTTGATAACTTGTGGCCCCATTATCATTTAGTTCAAAGAAATCTTTTGAATTCCATCTAGATTTCCTTCTTTACCCTGTAGTCATTCAGCAATAGATTGTTTAATTTCCATGACTTTGCGAAATGGTGACTGTTTCTGTTGGAATTGATCTCTAGTTTTATATTACTATGGTCTGAGAAAATACATGGTACAATTTCTGTTTTTTTAAGCAATCAAGTTGTCCTTTTATAAGATACTGTGGTTTATTCATACAATGGAATGTTTTTTAGCAATAGAAAGCTGTGAGTTATCAAGCCACACAAAAAGGCATGGAGGAACCTTAACTATGCATAGTGATAAATGAAAGAAACTATTCCCCAAAGGCTAGCTATGGTGTGATTCCAACTCTATAACATTCTGGAAAGGAAAAACTATAGAGACAGGAAAAAGATCAGTGTTTTTAGGGGTTGAAGGGAAAGCGGGGAGAGATGAAGAGGAGGAGCACAGGAGATGTTATGGCAGTGAACTATTTTGTAGGGTACAGCAATGCTGGACACATGTCAAAGCCCATAGAATACACAACACCAAGAGTGAATTTAATGTAAGCTATAGATTTTAGTTAATAATAATGTATCAGTGTTGGTTCATCAATTGTAACAAACACAGTGCACTAACATAAGATGTTAATACAGGGGACACTGGGGTGGGTGAGGGGAAATATGGGAATTCTCTGTCCTCTCTGCTCAAAATTTCTGTAAACATAAAGTATATAAAATATATATATTATTTTTTAAAAAAAACAAAACTTTTTTACAAAGTGAAACAGAAGGCATGTCACAGGAAGAGTAATGAACCCAACAAAATCTTTGACCACAAGGACAAAACAGTATCATATCATGATATCAGCAGATAAGAATGAATTTTATTTGCTTAACACCAGGTCTGTCTTTGTAGAAAAGGTGCTGGTTCTTTCATTTTGTGTCTTTGTACGCTGTATAGAGAAGATCTTTAAGTAGAAGGCAAAGCCGTTTGTTGGTTTTCTGTTTTATACAGCGTGCTTAGTTTTGTTTGTCTTATATGGTAAATTCATTCTTGACATGATCAGGTGGTTAAAAAGAAAGCAGTTTCACAAAAATGGCTCTCAGATATTTTTTTATCTCTTTGAAAAATCAAGCTAATAGTCCACATATTGTGATCAGGCCTATAGTAGAGCTATGAATATAGCTATTTAAAAATAGAGATTTACATTGAACTCATGTTAGGATAGAGAAAACTTCTCATGCTTAAAGACAGCAGAAGAAATCACAAAGATAAGTGGTAAATAAAGTTTACTTAAAAATTAGTTTTCATGCTTAAAATATAATTGAAAGGCAAATGGACAACATTTGAAAAATATTTGGAGTAAGTATGATAAATTTTAATGTTCTGATAGGTAAAGTAATTATATAATTCAGAAAGAAAATATTCTGATTTCACATAAAATAGAAACTGTTTAAACTGGCAATTTATAAAAGAATATATAAATTGCTATTAAAATTATGAAAAAAGATTAACCTTTATAGTCATAAAAAATTAAGACAAAGAAATAACACATTGAATTTTCTTCCATTTTTATTTTATTTTAAAAATTTAAAATTAATCATAGGAATCTTGGCGAGAGTTATAGGTAACTATTTCTAAATGGTATAGTAGGTGTCTGCATTAGTATTATCTTTCTAAAAATTAATTAGACAATATGAATTAAAAAGTTAAAATCTTTTGCAAAAGTAGGTTAATTTGACCAGAGCTATGAGTGGTTAAATGTAAGGGTAGCTAAAATCTGAAAGAGCATAACTATTCAACAATGAGGATGGTTAAATAAGATATATGCACAAGACTATGTATTATATAACTCAAAATGAGAATTTCAAAGATGTGGAGAAAACTTACGCTGCAAAGCGAAATGAAATTTCTAAATATAAAATTACACGAAATATGATGCCAACCATGTTTAAAATATTAGATGCCTAGAGAAACAGTTAGGGGAGACTATACCAAATGTTGATTATAATTATTCTAAAGATATTTGAAATCACAGGTAATTTTAAATTTCTATAAAGAGCATGTATCACTCTGAAAAATTGTGCATAATAAAATATTCTTAGACCCTTGTCTCTGACCCATAACA